CATCCACCCTGTCAGGCCTCCTTGGAATCTTCTATGCTTCAATATGATCACCACTCATTCTCTAAATTGTAGTGTATAAAGGCTTAAATTGTTTGGCCATTCTTGATAAGTCAACCCTTTCATCCCAGAAATCAGCCTAATAAATCTCTCATGAACAACCTCCAATGCAACTACATCTTTCTTAAATGCAGCGTAAAACAAGACTTCCCCATTTTTAAATTCCAATTCCTAAGTAGTACAGGCCAGAGTCCCATTTCCCTTAACAACTTGCTGCACCAGTTTGCTAACTTCTTGTGTTTCATGCAAAAGAACACCCAGATACCTCTGCATTGCACACTTTTGGTATCCCCAATACAGTGAGCTTCTATCTTGCACAATAACCTTCTAATGTGACATCTTATCAAATGCCGTCTGGAAATCCAAATACACTACATCTACCCATTCCTCTTTATCGAGTCTGCTTGCAATATCCAAAAAGAGCCCTAGCAAATTTTTCAAATTCGATTTCCATTTACAAAACTATGTGGACTCTGTTTGATTGCGTTAAGGTATTTCATGCTATTTCTTCCTTAATAAGGGACACTAATATTTTCTCAAAGACAGATGTTAGGCCAATTGGCCTATAATCCCTTGCTTTCTGGCTCCCTTCCTTCTTGAACAGGGCATCACATTCACAGTTTTCCATCTGCCTGGAATCCTCTCAGAATCCAGTGAGTTCTGGAAATTTTTTTTCTTTATTCATTAACGGGATGAGGACGTCACTAGCTAGGCAGCTTTTATTGCCCATCCCTAATTGCCAGAGGGCAGTTCAGAATCAACCGCATTGCTGTGGGTCTGGAGTCACATGTAGGCCAGACCAGGTAAGGATGGCAGTTTCCTTCCCTAAAGGACATTAGTGAACCAAATGGGTTTTTCCCAACGATTGACTCTTAATTCCAGATATTTTATTGAATTCAAATTCCACCATCTGCCATGGTGGGATTCAAACCTGGGTCCCCAGAATATTACCTGGGTCTCTGGATTAACAGTAGAGCGATAATATCACTAGGCCATCACCTCCCTCAACTAACGCTTGCAGTATCTCTGCAACCAATTCTCTTAAAACCTTTGGGTGCAAGTCAACAGTTCCTAGTGACCTGTCTATCTTCACTCCCAAGATTTGCAGCCAATCAATTGAGTGCCTAAAGTCGGCAATTAACACCATACGATCCCGTGAATCTGATTTGTGCTCTTCAGGGGCTATATTGAGCATATCTGCCTTTCTTGATCCATTGAGATCCAGGAAAGGGAGTCCCTATCCCAGGCCTGATCCTCATCTCCACCTGTTTGGTTCACTGACCGTGTAAGAGGCAGGCTTAGGACCTATCCCTTACAAAGCCAGATGGAAACTTGAGGAATAGACCAAGCCCTGAGGGGTTTTGACAAGGTGGATATGGAAGGGATGTTTCCTCTTGTGGGAGAGATGAGAACTGGTGTGGGGGGTGGGGTGCTGTTTAAAAATATCAGGCCTCTCTCATTTGAAACAGAGGGTCTCAGTGGGTCATGAGTCTGTGGAATTTTCTTCTTCAGAGAGGGTGGAGCCAGGGTACTAGAATCATTTTATGTCAGATTAGATAGATTGTTGACTAACAAAAGTAGGGGGCAAATAGCATTGGAAGCAGGCAGGAAAGTTGAAGCCACAATCTGATCAGCCGCAATGTTATTGAATGGCCAGAATGATCTGAAGGTCGAATGGCCCACTCCTGCATTTGCTTTGTACATTCATATACATCAACATACTCTGTGCCCCTCCTCATGTGACTGACAGAAGACTTGAGAGCAGACAGCTCCCCTTCCCAACAAAAAGGTTGGTCAGAAATCAACAAAAGAGACAAAAGGTGTCTCCCCGCAACAACAACAACACACTTTAGGCGGCGACAGCAAAGGCAGAATGGGCCATTCATCAGGCCCTCACCGGGAATTAGGCCCCACCCGTAGGCTGATCTGAGTGGCCAACAGCTCCAGCAGCCCTGGCAGTGCCACCAGCTCAGTAGAGGGCACTGCTGGTACTGCAGGCACCTTCGAGAAAGAGGATCCTCTTCTGCCCACCTCTACAAATAAAAAAATCGCCTACCTGCTCCTGCCTGCCTGCCTGCCAACACCAACATATTCTAACATGAGCAGTGTATTATTAGGACCTGTTGAGCTGTAACAGATTTAATTGACCCTCGTTTAGTTACATTTGGTGTGCAGGCTGATTTCTGAGCCCACACAGCACCCCCCCTTTACTATAGTGTGAGCTCAGGGTGAGTGGGAAGATGATGGACTGGGTATTCAACCTATCTCCTGCTGTTAACACGCCCAGTGTGGGCACCTAATATCCAGCCTAGTGTTTCTAAAAGGGCTGAAGAGACCCCAACAATAACAGTCTGATAGCTAGGTTTGGGTCCCAATATTATTCATTCAGAGGTAGAGTTGCGATTCTGGTTAGATGTATCCCTGGAGGATTCACCACACGATCTCCCATTGGTAATAGCACCTTGTCTATTCTCCTTTCTTTAACTAGAATAAAGCAAACCCCACATCTTGTTATGCAAACTGATTTATCAAATAGCCAGCTAATAAGTGAAAGGGCTGGAGGGAAGTGGAAAATAAAAGGGTGTAATACTTTTAATGCTGTCTGTAAAGTTTCTGCCAGACTTGCTGGCAGAAACATCCCAGAGATTAATCTTTAATTCTTGGGGAATCCAGGGCAGGAGCAGAGTGGTGGCAGCCCCAGGATTGAGGTAGTTTGTACCTCACTGACTCCTTCCTAAACATGTGTGTGAAGGAGACTGAACTTCCTGCACAACATTCCTTGTTCCAGTCCAATTCCAGACCCCACCCACAACTCTTTCTCTGATATATCAATGAAATCATCAGTGCTGCTTCCCCCTCTCGTCTGAAATTGGAAGGGTTTATCGATTTTACTTCCAGTTTCTACCGTGCCCTCACTTTCACCTGGTCTACCTCTGACTCCTCCCTTCCCTTCCTCAACATCTCTGTTTACATTTCTGGGGATAGATTGGCCACCAATATTCCCTGTAAACCCACCAACTCCCACAGTTACCTGGACTACCTCACACTCTGCTTTCTCCAAAGACTCCATCCCATTCTCTCAGTTCCTCTGTCTCCGTCGCGTATGTTCTGATGAGGCCAACTTCAACAAGGGAGCCTCTGAAATGTCCACCTCTTCCTCAACCATGGATTCCCCAGCTCCGTTGTTGACAGGGCCCTCAACTGGGTCAGACCCATCTCCCATAGTTCCGCCCTCACCCCCTCTCTTCCCTCCTACAACAGCGATGTCCTTACCTACCATCCCACCAGCATTCACATCCAGAAAATCATTAGCTACCATTTCCGCCACCTTCAGCGAAATCCCACCACCAGACACGTATTCCCCTCCCCTCCCTCTTCCGCCTTAGTCCACTCTTCCTTCACTACTAGCACCCCTGCAGTTGCCGAAGGTGTAACACCTGCCCATTTACCTCCTCCACCTCAGTATCCAAGGGCCCAAACATACCTTCCAGGTGAAGCAGCACTTTACCTGCACTTCCCACAATCTAGTCTACTGCATTCACTGCTCATAATGTGGTCTCCTGTACATTGGGGAAATGATACGTAGACTGGGTGACCACTTTGCAGAACATCTACGGTCTGCCCACAAAAAAAATCCCAAGCTTCCAGTTGCCTGCCACTTCAACATACCACCCTGATATCTGGCCAGTATTTCTATTTCCCACTTGCTACAGTGCTCCAGCGAAGCTCAGCATAAGCTGGAAGAACATCTCATTTTCCATTTGGGGACCCTGCAGCCTTCTGGACTCAATATCAATAATTTTAGGGCTTGAACTCCACTATGTCCTTGCCCTCACCCTCACACACCAGGCCTTGTTATCACATAGTCTGCTATTACACACAACCCGTTGTTAGCCACTAACAGTCTCCATTAACAGCTATTCACCCTCCTAGCCAGATTGTTACCCACTCCGTTGTCTGTCCAACTGTTTGTCTCTCTCTTTGGGCTCTATCTCCACCCATCATTTAGTCCTTACCCCCTCCCCACCACCCTATCTTCTGCGTAAAAACCAACATTTTCCTAACTACCATCAGACCGGAAACGTTAACTCTGATTTCTTCTCACAGGTGCTGCCAGACCTGCTGAGCTGTTCCAGCAATTTCTGAAGTCACCATTTCAGGCGTCATATTAGTTGCAAAGATACCTAGATAGAAAATTGTAGGTATTATTTTAAAAATGCAGAAATAAAGTTAAGAGATCAGCATCATAGTCCTTATAAAGCTAGGTACAAAGATACCTAGGTACAAAATCTTAGGTATAAATTAGAAAAATGAAGAAATAAAGGTAAACATTTAGCATTACAGACTTTCTAAAGCAGGGAGTCCACCCTGCTTCACCTTAAGGCTGGGAGTCCATTGAGTCTGCATTGGCTCAACTCTCCACCACCGATGCCGTGCAAGCATTGGAGGTAAGTAGAGAGAATAAAAAAGAAGAAAAAGGAGAAAAAAAAAATGAAAAGAGGTAAAAGAAGGAAAGAAATGGCCGGAGCAGACAAGTTCCAGCTTAGGAGCCCACTCCACTGCCATCTTAAAAAACATTTTGAATCCCATTCTATCTCAGACCTGTTGGTATGAATCAGATAATTATTTAATGCCTCATGCCATCAAAAATAAGCATCTGTAAGTATGATGTCTTCATATCAGCATCCTGTATCCCAAATGAGCAACGTGTATTCTTTACAATGTACAGCTTCAGAACACAATTAATCAGATTGTTTTCCAATGTTGTACATCAACACTTTCACAGTTACTAAATATGAATTTTATTTAATGATTTGTTCTTTTTCCTTTCTATCTCCTACCCACCCTGTGATGTATTGATGCAATCCTTACCCTTCCACCATTCCCTTCCCTGGTTAACCCCTCCACTTTGCCCTCCTTTCCCACATGCCTCGTGTACACAGGACAAGCAATTTTTCGACAATGTGTCCCTGCTGATCCAAGGTTCACTGGAAGGAGAGTTAACCCTCATGGACAACCTCTCAGGTTCTGTCTGCCACAACTACGCCATCTCCCAACAAAACAAATGCTGTGCTGAGAAACAGGTTAATAATTCTAGCTTCTCTAACAAAGTCCCATGTTCAGACCGGGAACCTAAGAATGGCTCAAAAGACCAAGGCTAAATGAGGTAAAGGGAATCCATTGAAGAGGATACAACAGGTGCCTTTCAATAGTGTCGCTCTGATTGATATAACATGTAGGGCATTTTTCCTGAATACAATCAGTCTTATCTTACATGAATGGACATTTAGGGAGTATACTTACATTATAGGCATCATGTGGGAAATATTTCCATCTATCTCCTCACTTTCTAAAGACCAAGTTTTCAATGTGAGTTGATCCCAATGAATTCCGAGAGCTAGCATTCCCGAACCACTTTGCTCTCGCAGTCTTATTTTTATCGTCAAGTGACCTAAATGGCGAGGAGGTGAGCTCAGCACCCAGTCTGTGGTATAAATGCATCCGGGTGCTAAGTGGTGTCAGTGGGTGGCAGCAGCTCTATTGGAGCCTGCAGCGACCTTTCTGAAGACAGTGCCAATTGCATCCATGGCAATGGAAGGGTCATGCAGGTTCGAATACGGAGCAATGCTACAGCTGGCACAAGAAAGTCCAGAAAGGTCAGCCTTAAATAAATGGTGTCTGGTGACCCAATTGCGAAACCAAAGGTGAATTCACACCATTGTGGACCAGACTGTTTGGTTTTACCGAATTAAGGATTTCAAAATTTCATACTCATTAGAGAACTGAAGGAGCAGTTTTTTTTTTCTCAGCTCTGAATGTTTGCCATTCCACGAGCCCAGTGTTGAACTATCCTGGAGGCATTAGGAACCCAAGACAAGGTCTAGGTCTGCAAATTTTCAATCCTGCCCCCATCAAGTCCTGACCCAATGACCTCAGGGCTTGAAAATCAGGCTCCACAGCTCTTTTGGAAGTGTACCTACCACCTTCTGAAGGAAATGAAAGGATGCACCCTCAAGGACAAGCTACCTTATACCTTAGCATTTTTAAATTCCTAAAGTGAAAAAAGGCTGATTTTAAACAGTGGATTTACAACTTCACCATATCCCAAAGCCCTTTAAAGCCAATGACCTTGAAATGTACTCGCTGTAATTCGGGGAAATTTCTCATAGTAAGGCCCCTCAAACAGCAATGCAATAAATAACCACCAAATTGGTTTCCTCAATCTGTTGGTTGGGTGATAAATATTGACTGTGGAGAAGACTACCTATTCCTATTCAAATTAGTGGCATAGGTTCTATTATGTAAACTTGAGAGAGCAGGCAGAGCCTTGTAATGTGTCAACTGGAGCACTCAGTTCTGTACGGGCTTGTCAACATGAATTTTGTATTCAAGCCTGTGGTGAGACTTGAACCCAGAGTGTTCTAACTCCGAGGCAAGCCTGCTTTCGGCAGAGCCAAGGCTAACACGCCTGCGGCAAGACACATGGACGTCTCAGAGAGAGAGAAAAATCAGGAGCTAAAGTTGAGAGACAGGCCACCTACTAATTTTTCCTGTGTTCTGCCCAATCGTGCAAGACGATTGTTATAACAACTCCTGTGCACCTGGCAACAATATTCGCGTCTTGAACAGCTTGAGTTTGCCAGATGTTGGAGCTGGGTTGCAGTCTGAGTCAGGCCATGCCTATTCAGCTGGATGAGCAGGTATTCAGGTGTTGAAGAGATTCCACTTCTCTGCTTTGTGAGCAATATTCCATCCTTGTACAGTTTTGGACTGCATAGAGAATTAAAAACCCTGAACAGGGGGCTCAATTGGAATGTGGATGATGCCTTGAAATTCCATTGTACATTCGTCAATCTTAAAGATAATTGCAACTACACTCGATCATGTTTTTGCACCAAGGAGATTAAAGGACCCTACCCTGCCTACAAGGAACGTTTTCCATTGACTGTGTATAATGTGCTTGTGAGACCTTGTTATGCATAAGCCAGCTGCTGAGAATCCCTGCTAGCACTGTGAAATCAGTCCAGAATCTCTTCATTTGTTCAGTATTGGAGGTGTGAGAATAGAGGGATATTTTTCCCAATGGAGAGCTCTCTATGTGGGAGACCCTCCCACGTTCCACTGGGGGCCTGGACTGGAGGGTGTCACATGTAGTCCCATGTTCTTCCTAGTCCCTTATGATAATCACGTGTCAAAACTCTGAAATATTTCTAATTTTCTACATCCAGAAGTGGTAGCACAAGCACCTGAACGGCTTTTTCCGTCGCCAAATCCACCTGTGGCAGTTGTCACCTGTTAACCACCACTACTACATCACCTGTGTTTCCAAATGTTCAGTTTGTGTGCAGAGCTAGTTAAGGACAATGCATTAACACTAAAGGTGAGCGAGTGAGAGTGAGAGCGCTAAATCAGAATGGAGTTAGATGGGAACATAAAGCACTCTGCCCACCACCACTCCCATCCCCTCCCCAGCTGACAGTGGTTCACAGACTCCCAGCCCAATTGTGGTTGTTCACAGGTTCAGGCAGCTCGCACTAGATAAGGTCATATCTGTCAACTGTCTGTCCCTCTTCTGCAGCTACATTCGTATCTTGGTGTCCTTGAAGAAGGAGCATGCAGCATCAACCAATGACTTTGGAGAGAGGTGGGCACTGCAGGGGGTAGAGTGCCTTATCTCCCCATCCACCATTTTTCTTTAGCTCTCTTCCTTAAACAATTGGAAAGTTGGGTGATGTAATTGTGGTGGTCAATACATTTGGTGTAAACTGCCACAGATGATTTGGTGATGGAAAAAGCCATTCAGTCGTGTGTGATAGCACTTCTGGATATTTTAAAAAAAGGAATATTTGGAGTTTTGACACTCCATTATCATAAGAGACCAGGCAAAATTTACACAGTACGTCCAACTGTCGAGCCCATCAGGAGACAAGTTACATATAATCTGTCCAAACAGACAAGTAGTGATGCCACTGACTTAATGCACTTTGGTGCAAAAGTGGTTCAATTTACTTTAAATAGATTCAGCCTAAGATGCAAACTTCCAATCTTACACTTGTAAATATCTGATCCTATGTACTAAGGAGCATAAAAGTAAAATTTGCATTTTGTCATATAGTGCCTTTCACAATCTCGGGATTTCCTGCTTCATGTGACAGCTAATAAAGTAGCACAGACTGGAGTTGTAATATAGGATAATGACAAGAGTTGAAACTGCTGTTGTAGGATAGAAGGACAGAACAATACAACTACCAGGTATGGTACCAGCACATACAGGCTACGGAGTTTCTAGCATTAATCATAGGACTGAATGGATCTGACTGGGCAGCATTAGAGCGGCTTCAGTTTGTAATCACATGCTTATGCAATGGCATTCAAATTCTTGCACTCATTGCTGTTCAGTGATTCCCACTAAGACACCTGTGTTGTGTGAGTGAACTGAACAGCCCCTTCCCTGTGTTGGATAACAGGCTTACAGACACTCTCAGTCTAGACTCACACATGGGAAAGTCTGCTTCCTCAGCAATGGTTGGCACTCTTCGGACAGAGGACAAAAGGAGAAATTTGAAAAAGATTCTTTATAGTGTTTCAGTCTCAGCTGTAACAGTGGGCATATTATAATACTTTTTGTCACCCCTTCCCTTACTTTTACTGAGATATATCGTGGTCCATTTTATTGTTTTGGATGTTAGATTGTAGGGGAAGGGTAATCAACAAAAACAATTGATTCTACATAAATGAAACTTCTACATTTCAAGTTTTCAAATCCTTCAGCTAAAGCTTGCCCAGTCCAAGCCTTTCAGGTCTTGTCTTAAGTTAGCTGAGGTTCCTGATCTGGAGATGGAGCTATTTGCCTTGCATTGTTTGTTGTTGTAATTCTATTTCCTTCTTCCCTTCTGCTGAGCTCAATGGTCATGTTGAGGTTTGTCAGAGACTGGTGCCATCTTAATGCAATCAATTTAATGCTTTCAGTCCTCACAGGCCCCAGACCAGAATGCATCCAAATCACTCTGAATATTGGATTTGCACACAGGATGAAACCAGACCTGAATAATTATAGTTTCTCAAACTGACCTAAAGGACCAACCCTGAATGAAGGTCATGATAGCCATTGGAAAGATTGTTTACCCTCCCAGTTTTGCATGGCATCAACCATTCATGATTGAGGGTAGACAGATGTCTTGCTGCCAGGTCTCTGCAATTAACATACTCTCTCATCATTGGCAGAAATCTGCTTCTTTTAACTACTCAATAAATTCACATGGCATTGTTTTGGTAAGGCACAAGAAAATGTAAATTATTTCAGTAAAAACATTTAAAGGAGTGCCTTCAAGCAAAACAGTATATTTGAAATTCTCGTTGATCCATTTTCTTTTGTAATTTCTTCTTCATTGTTACCTCGTGAGGAAGAGAGTTTGTTCTTCACAAGCTAATGTTGTCTTGAAGAGAACTCTGCCTGAAACAATACTGGGTCATGCAATAAACAATTTTTGTTTGGTACCAGCATGTCCAGGCCCGGTGAAAGTTAATGTAATGTAGCATTCACGCTGCCAACACAGTGTTCTGGGCATTGGGGTAAGAAAGACAAAACAATGGGGAAGGGTGTGATGTTAGGTCTTTTCAATATCACGTGACAATGTAAAATGGGAGATATTGATAGGTTAGCCTGTTCCACATTTCTCCTGATGGAAACTGAGCAGCAGTGAGAAGTGGAAACCCTGACTGATGTTCCTCTCTGTAACCCATCAAAGCTAACTTTCGTTCCCCACTATTCTATCTGCAACAAGCCAGAAGACCTGTGATCTACCCTGTCTTGTTATTCACTCAATAGCCTTGTCTACCCTTTGAGAAAGCAGCAGAGTTTAATAAGTCAAATTATAACAGAAACAGTCCCTGGGATGCAGCAGATTAGTTATCATAGAATTGTGCAATACCAGCCATGCCTGCGCTGGCTCTATGAAAGAATTATCTAATCAGTCCAATCCCTGCCCTGTTTCCCAATAACTACAAACTTTTCATTTTTACACATCAAGTATCTAATTCCTTTCTGAAAGTGACCTTCTTCACTTCAGGTAGTATAATCCAG